TGTCTAATTTTTTTTAAACACATTTTCAGATTTAACCACATTCTCACCCCGCTGTTTACTTGTTTATTTTATTTTCTGGATTCTGTTTTAGTCTTACCTGCTTTCGGGAACCACTCTTCACCAGACTCGAACCCCCTCAACGTGATCTGCATCTCAAGTCCACCGACGTACATGACGCGCTAATGGGACAAACTGTTGCAGCTGGATCAGCTGGGAAGCGCGAAAAGGAACGGCGTCACACCGCGCCGTAGCGTTCATTTAAAAAAAAATTAAATGCAGCCATACGTACCTCTGGCTACATAATTCATGGTCTCCAGAAACATCTGTAGGGCTACGTTTTCAGAATGAGCCTGTGTTGGATCTTTTTTAGGGACTATTAATCAGTCAAAGATGAATCCTTTCAGCTAATAGTTAAATGTTTAATATGAGCATCCCTAGCTATGCACATATTGAACATTTAAACATTAGTACATATTGCATTCTCCTCTATTAATCCAAAAGTACACCGCCAACTACTGGCCGGACATGATATAGCACCTTTAGTCATTTTAATGGACGCTTCAGAAAAGGGATCACTTTGACAGTGTCCACAAAACGGTCGCACATAATTTGCCTGGGTCCACAAATAGTCCGCAAAACTTAACACAGACGTACACAAAGAAAAAAAAATGTATAGTGTAAATATACCCTTATTTAAGTGTACAAGTCTTTTCTGCTGCTGTTGTTTTTAAATATTTCTCCAGTTACGATAATCCTTACCGCTTTTCGACACCAGGAATGCATGAATGCGTAAATAAAAGGATTTAACGTGGAATTAGCATAGCCAAACCACATAAGCACATCAATCAGCATTGGCGGTGTCGCGTAGCCAATAAAAGGATTGAGGATATTACACAGAAAAAAGGGAGTCCAGCAAACCAGGAAAGCTCCAACCACAATAGCAATGGTGACAGTTGCCTTGCGTGTCTGAAGCTGCACATCTCTTGATGGATAAACCCGCCTCAACTGGTTTAACTGAAGACGAATAGATCTCTCCTGGTTTCGGGCGACCATGTAGATTCGAGAATAGATGACAACAATGATGAAGCCAGGGATGTAGAAGGAAAACACAGAGGTGAACACTGCCGGACCGTGACTAAAAAACACATGGCATCCTCCCACACAGCGTACATGAGCATCGTAGAAGTCTTTGCCTCCGTGGATGTTGATCTCCAGGAAAGTCATCACGTAAGCGAATATTCCAGGGATCAACCAGCTGATGGAGATCATCAACAGCACCGTTGACAATCCAAAACAGGAACGATACCTTAACGGTCCACACACAGCACAAAAGCGCTCAGCAGACACACTCACAAGATGGAAAATGGAAGAGGTGCTGAGAGTGATGTCAATGCATGTGTGTAACTTACAAAGGAATTCGCCAAAGTACCAACAGCCCTGCATGGAGCGAACAGCACTCAGAGGCATCACAAACAACCCAATCAGAAAGTCACACAGGGCGAGAGACAGAATCAGCTGGTTTGTTGGTGTGTGGAGTTGCCTGAAATGTCCAATGGAGATGATGACCAGTAGATTCCCAATGAAGGTCATTGAGATGATCAACATAATAGCGATGAGCATCGGAACGTGGATGGCATGCGGTCGTACGTATTTCCAACAGGATCCATTCATCGCCTCATAACAGAGATCCATTTGGTAGTCCATTTAATATGTTCTGAAGATGAATCTGAGCAAATCTCATGACAAGAAATTAGCAGATGGGCTGGATTTAGTTTGTTCACTTCTGCTGTCCACTGTATATCCACATTGTAAAACAGCTGTAAACAAAGCTGTGGTTTAAATTAGCAGCAACCCATAAAACAGACCGTCTCCCAAGGGAGAAATGAATTTTCCTACATATTCCTTTTAAGGAATTCCAAAGAAAAGAGCTACTATAAATATTTTTCTCTCTCTCCAAGTAGCAGCCTTTTCCATAAAATACACTCTCGTCCTACAGAAAAAGCTCAACTGGTCTGTCCGACTTCTGTTAGGAAATAAAACAGGTATTAATTAATTTCACCTGCTTTAAATACACCAAAAGGGACAAAGTCTAACCAATCCGTCTATACTTATTTATCTATGAGTCATGTAATAATAGCAACCAACTCTTGTGTTTGCATTTCTAGCTAATGTTGACATCCAGAGCAAACAGCTGCATGTTAGAAATAAAGCAATGCAGAAACTCCTGTCTCCAAGAAAACACATCATTTATGTGTATAAGATGCTGCATTGTAAAAGGTCAATAAAAATGTAAAAAGTGTTAAAATGAAATGTACAAATTAAAAAAAATGTTTTAATCAATCAATTTGCAACCTTCTATTTATATAAAATAGTGTTATGCAACAGAAAAGTAAAAATGTCACCTTATAGAGCAGCTAAAATATATATATAAAATAATAATAATAATAATGTTTCCTCCAATGAATTACTTTCTTAAAACTAATCTTTAAAAATTAAATTCTAGTCAGACATTTATAACAAAAACAAAAAAAGTTTCTTTATCCAATTTCTCCTTTGACAGTCTCATTAGACAAGGCCTAAAGTCAAAATCTTTGGCTTTGTTCCACTTTGCTTTTAGACACACACACACACACACACACACACACACACACACACACACACACACACACACACACACACAACACACACAACACACACACACACACACACACACACACACACACACACACTTTTAAACTGCCCTCCCCAAGCACTTCCCCTAGAGGTGAATACCTGTGGTCATTTTAAAGTGCATTCCAATTCATGAAGTGGATGAGCAAAGTTTATAGTGCATCTGGAAAGTATTGATAGCGCTTTAATTATTCAACTTTTTTATGTTATAGCCTAATTCCAAAATGAATAAAAATCAGTTTTTTCCCTTAAAATTCTACGCACAATTCTCCATAATGACAATGTGAAAAAAAATGTTTTTTGAAATTGTTGAAAATTTATTAAAAATTAAAAAACCTGAAAAATCACATGTACATCAGTATTCCGTCTTTGCCATGAAGCTCTAAATTGAGCTCAGGTACATTCTGTTTCCACAGATCATTCTTGAGATGATCAGAATCTTCATTGGAGTTCACCTGTGGTCAATTCAGTTGATTGGATATGATTTGAAAAGGCATACACCTGTCTATACAGGGTCCCAAGGTTGACAGTATATGTCAAAGCACAAACCAAGCATGAAGACAAAGGAGCTGTCTGTAGACCGCTGAGACAGGATTGTCTCGAGGCACAAGGCTGGGGAAGATTACAGAAACATTTTTGCTGCTCTGAAAGTTCCAATGAGCACAGTGGCCTTCATCATACGTAAATAGAAAAGTTTGGAACCACCATGACTCTTCCTAGAGCTGGCCGGCCATCTAAGCTGAGTGTTTGTGGGAGAAGGGCCTTAGTCAAGGAGGTGATCAATAACCCAATGGTCACTCTGTCTGAGCTCCAGCATTCTTCTGTGGAGAGAGGAGAACCTTACAGAAGAACAACCATCTGTGCAGCAATCCACCAATCAGGTCTGTATGGTAGAGTGGCCAGACAGAAGCCACGCCCCGCCTGGAATTTGCCAAAAGGCATCTGAAGGACTCTCAGACCATAAGAAACCAAATTCTCTACTCTGATGAGACTAAAATTGAACTCTTTGGAGTAAAGGCGTTACGTTTAGAGAAAACCAGGCACCGCTCATCACCAGGCTAACACCACCCATCATCATGTTGTGGGGATGTTTTTCAGCAGCAGGAACTGGAAGACTAGTCAAGATAGAGGGAAAGATTAAAGCAGCAATGTACAGAGACATCCTGAATGAAAACCTGCTTCAGAGTTCCTTTGACCTCAGACTAGGACGACGGTTCATCTTCCTGCAGGAAGTAGGAAATATCAATGGAGTGGCTTCACAACAACTCTGTGAATGTCTGAGTGGCCCAGCTAGAGCCCAGACCTAAATCCTATTGAACATCTCTGGAGATATCTGAAAATGGCTGTACACTGTCACTTCCCATCCAACCTGATTGAGCTTAAGAGTTACTGCAAAGAGGAATGGGCAAAAATTCCCAAAGACAGTTGTGTCAAGCTTGTGGCATCATATTCAAAAAGATTTGAGGCTGTAATCGCTGGCAAAGGTGAATCAACAAAGTATTGAGCAAAGGCTTTGAATACTTCTGTACATGTAATTTTTCAGTTTTTTATTTTTAATAAATGTGCAACAATTTCAAAAACTATTTTATCCCATTGTCATTATGGAGTATTGTGTGTAGAATTTTGAGAAAATAAAATGAATTTAATCCATCTTGGAATAAGGCTGTAACATAAACAAATGTGGAAAAAGTGAAGTGCTATGAATACTTTCCGGATGCACTGTAAACAACATGATATATTAACAAATTAATTCTTCAGATATGCAGTATAAAGCACTTTTTATACGTTTAACAGCCTATAATAAAAGAATGTAATACAATATGTCCAATGAAATCTGGAAGAAGGAAAAAATCCCAAAGCAAACATCAACAGAAAATCATAAGACATACTGAAATCATCTACCAGCAGGCAATGGACAGTGCTGACCAGCCAAACTGACCATCAGATACCGTAAACACACAAAGTTCACCCTTAAACATCTTGAGAGTTGAAAGCAAATCAGAAACGTCATGTACTCACAAGACACCACCAAGCCATTTTCATTGGTTTACAGAAAGTTCCTCATGGAGTTGAAGTATTCAAAAGGCTAGAAAGTACACATCCACCATCATCTCTTTAGGATGCAGGGAGGCTTCCTGTGGTAAGAAACAAACACATATTTACAACAAGCATTAATTGAAACATAAGATTGGTTTTAAATACGACGAAATTGCAAATATTATTTTAAATATGTGATGTTTAATTCGACCTAATCTCCGAATCTCAGAATGTAATGTTTACATGTAAAGCCTAATCAATCTGTTGTCTCGTTCTAGGTACTGAACTGCCTGTATGATGAATCAGAGTCATCAGTGGTCTGCAGAGACGTTCAGCCTCTGTTTTGAATCCATAAATGACTCCTGCGTTAAGACAGTCTATTCTCCGGTGTTCCGTGCTCCTCTATACCTCCTCTTTATTATTGCTATCATTCTGATAGTGTTTGGTAACCTGTGGGTCATCTGCACCATCTCCTTTTTCCAGCAGCTCCACACACCCACCAACTACCTGATCCTCTCAATGGCCGTATCGGATCTGCTTCTGGGCAGTTTTGTCATGCCCCCGAGTATGTTGCGCTCTTTGGAAACGTGCTGGTACTTTGGTGACTTTTTCTGCAAGTTTCACTCTGCTACTGACTTTACACTGTGCAATGCATCTGTTTTACACCTCGTGTTCATCTCGATCGACCGATATTATGCAGTTTGCCAACCGTTTCACTATCAGAGCAGAATGACCACACGTGTGAGCGTATTCATGATCCTGATCAGCTGGAGTTTCTCTGCCTTTTTCGGCTTCGGTATTATATTCTCAGAGCTGAAAATCGAAAAAAAAAGAACCGAGGAGTTGCATGTTGCTTGTAAAGGAGGATGTTTAGCATTGCACGGCCGAGAAATCGGAGTAACGTATTCGCTTGTGTTTTATTTCCTCCCCATGTTTATAATTGTCAGCCTGTACAGCAGGGTTTTCATTATAGCACTCAAACATGTCCGTGTTATAAATAGCGCCGCAAGCTCATTATCAGCTACTAAAATGGATTTGAAAGCCACTAAAACGCTTGCTATCATCATTGGAGTTTTCATGTCTTGTTGGACGCCTTATTTCATGTGCAACATCATCGATCCTATTGTCAACCATACAATACCGGCTCTGCTGTATGAGGTTCTGATGTGGGTGGCTTATCTGAACGCAGTGTTCAACCCCTTGGTTTATGCCTTTTTTTACAGCTGGTTCAGAGATAAATCCAAACTTTTGTTGGAGAAATTGTATAAATTGTGCTAAATCTGTAGGCCAATCTGCTCTCTGCTTAATTCCTTCCCTTGTGTTTGTACATGTGAAATGTTTTAGTAGATTTTACATAGGAATAACTATAATTCGTTACAGACCATTTCAATGTGGTGATGTCACTGACCCATGAACATTTTCAGCTGGCTGTCTAACTATTTCATAACAGTAAAAAAAGTGGGAATTCAATCATAGCTCGATATTAAAACAGCTATCATAACATTATTTATCAACATGTGGACCTTATTCTCAGGAGCTATGAAAATGAAAACATGTAAAACAGGAAATACATTGGGACCAGTCATTGTTTACGTTCTTCAAAATGATCGATAATCCATGTCAAGCTTTGATTTATTAAATGCTTTTAACACCTCACCACATTTAAAATTCCCACTTGAAAACTTCAGGTGATATGCACTGCATAGTACATGTTTGCATAGTATATAGTATACTATATCCAGATAGTAAGTTAGTTTATTGATATAGCAGATTTTTTTTACAATGCAACGTTGTCCAAAGTGCTCAACACAATCAATACTAATTAAAATAATAAGTCATACAGCTTATACATAACAACTGAAGCATAAGACAAACCCCTCAACGTTAAAAATTCTCAAATGCTAATAAACAAATTCAGATCAATTAAGACATTTTGTGTGTCATTTATGTTTTGCGAATAATGTACTGAAACACATCTTAAATATGATGCAGCAACAGGTAACGTTAAAACACAGTAATCCTTATCATATAATTATATTTAATATTCATATATGTTTTTTAACATGTAGAACAAGCTTGCACTAATTCAATTTCTTTTATAAACCACATTCCTATTTTCTGCTTTGTTGTCCATAATTACGTTATGCTTTTATCATATTCATTTGTATTGCCTTTTCTGAATTATGTCGGTAATTAAATGCTTCTTGAGGATCAAACATGTGTGTCTCTAAATCAATGATATGTGAGAAGCAAAAAATATGGTAGGGTTTGGTTGAATATCAACTGAGTATCAATGAAGGCCTGCACTATCATACTGCATTGGCTGTAAACCCATTTTTGATACATATGCAGCATTTTCCAAACATTTCCCATCCTTAAATCTATAAAACAAACAATATCACAGTATTATTCAGTAAAATAAAAGCATGCTCTAATTGAAGAATGCATTCAGTGTTTCATTCTGCTTTTATTTATTAAATCCATGTGTTACTTTTTCAACAAACCGACCTTCCAAAATCCTCCTGAATCACTAATTGATTTGTTATATCTATTTAAATATATAATACCTCTTCCACTGTATTTAAAAGTGTAACAATGGCCACCCAGTTAAAACAGTCTATAGAGCAAGCACAAGAATGAATTGTAGTCCTGCAATACATAATAAAAATACACACACATTCTTAAATTTTAGAATTATATTGTCTGTTTTAAAGTACAAATGCAGCTTTAAAAGAGACTGCACAATTATAGAGCACTCTGAAAAGAAGATAACAGAGAAAAAAAAGGCATTTTGCTGCCAGATTACAGTTACAGTGCAGTTACAGCATCCACCAGTAGGGGCTAAAAGGCAAAAAATAAAACAAAAATAAAACAAAAAAGCATGAGCCCTTGTTACCTAAAACAGATTATGTTTCAACTGTATACACACACACACACACACAGTTATGTTAATGCACAGTAAAAAAAAAAAATATATATATATATATATATATATATATATATATATATATATATATATGCTGGGTTCTACACACTCTCAGAAATAAAGCTACGTAAGCTGTCACAGGGGTGGTACCTTTTCAAAAGATATAAATTTGTACCTAAAAGGTCCATATTGGCGCTTAAAAGTACAAAAGTGTTCCTCTTAAAACTTTTAGGTACAAATATATACGTTTGAGGTACCAGTATGGACCCTTTAAGTACAAATGTGTACATTTTGAAAAGGTACAGTGACAGCTTGTGTACCTTTATTTCTGAGAGTGCACAATTCCTTCATGTTGTCCCAACTCATTTTGATTATGTTAACTTAAGTTAAAAAAAAATAAGTTGAATAAACAATTAAGTTGTCCCGAATTGTGTCGTTTTACCTCATTTTAAATAAGTAGTTATTTAGTAGTAGTTATAAGTAGTTATAAGCAACAAAAGTCATTTTTTGAGTGTGGGGACTGGCCACAGACATAATGATCATGCTTATACATAGCTTCTACCCTCGCAAGAAACATTCTGCATTGTTAACTTTTCAAAATACCCTATTTTGTGTGATTTATGAGCCGTTTTCCTCAAGGGGACCAAAAAAAGGTCAACATTTACTGCTATTGCTATAATTGTGGGGACATTTAGTCATACAAGTCTGTCATGCACACAAATCAGGGAAGGGGATAATTTCTAGTCTTTCAATTTTCAATCCTCAAAATTTAAAGTGGGCTTGCCTGTCCTAAGCCAGTGTGGGCCTCCTGGGGGCTACAGTAGATGAGTACTGCATATGCCGAGCCTGCACTAATAGGTTGATGTTTTACCATTGAGCAAACTCTCATTGGCTCTGTGTTCGCAGTATTCTCTGTGCCCAGAACGGGCCTTTATGGAACTACTATAGGCCACAGGTGTAAAACTCAAAGTGTAAAAGTTCCTGGAAGGCCGCACCATTGCACAATTAGGTTCAACCCTAATTAATCACACCCGATCAAACTAATTGAGTCCTTCAGGCTTGTTTGAAACCTACAGATAAGTGTGTTGAAGCATGGTTGGAACTAAACTGTGCAAAGCTGCGGTCCTCCAAGAACTGGCTTTGACACATGTGCCGTAGGCTGTCTGCTTGCATAAACTACTCACACAGAGCCTACAGTGAATCCACAATTTTGGGCCACACCTGGGCTAGCCTGCACTGGTTCCGATTAGATCTGGTGTGTGCCTGCAAAAAGCCAGCATTGGCCCTGCACAAGCATGTTTGCTGGTTAGGTTACTGCATTAGGCATAATGGAAATGTGCATGCTTTTAATTTTCTCATTTTCTCACAATACCTTCAAAACCAAACTGAGCTTTCATTGTGTTGCATTCTTGCATAATTTGCCATTTAGTAAATTTGGCTCTAAGAATTGTTTCAACACACTACAGAACAGACCTTTTCACATTTCTGGGTTTCTCAGTAGCGGAAATCCTCATACAGTAGATGGGTAAAGTTAGAGTGCAGTGAATGGGAGAGTACAACAAATATTTTTTTTACAATCCTATTTGCTGAAATAATAAAAGAAAAAACTCCCTGATGGTGTTATCAAGACTTTCAAGGAAAGGAAAAGAGTGTTAACTTTAGCCAGAAGAGAGAATAACGACACATTTAATGTCCTGCCCATTGCAATTGCACAAGCGGAAATTAGTTGTCATTTGATGCAAGGATGATATAATACATGCATAAATACATATAAATGTTCATACGTTTTGAAATGTAAGCATTTAATATGCTGATGACTGTTAAACACGTCAGAAAAGAGTCTTGTGAAAAGGGTCCGTAAGTAAAATAAATAAATAAATAAATTGTACTTTGTCTTACTGCACTGACATTTACAGTAAGTGTAACTTGTTGACATTGGTTTATAGATTCAGAGGCATTTACATAACCTTTTTTTGCAGAATTGCTGTTCATTTCAACAACAGCCTGAAAATAATTAAAAAAAGTATTTATAAATAGGTTTGAATTGTGCTAGTTTGTGAATTTAATACTATTATCACCTTAACAACACACTGTGGAACAAGTCATATCATGTGTACCATGTTTTTCAGTGTAGTATTTTTCACACTGTGACTAGACGGTTTGTGCTTTACCAAAAGTTTAATAGTGCTCAATTTTTATAATGTTAAAAATATAGAAATTGTACAATGTTAATAAAAAAAATGATAAAGAGTTATTAAACATTCTCTGAAAACAGAAAGCTTTAGATATATTTTTCTAAAAAGTTCTAGAGATATTTTTCAATGAAAAAAATATATATAGTTATAAACTCAGATTAATTATGGTTGGGGTTGTGGTGTGGGCCAGATCTGATTCAAGTGATGATTAAAATACACAGTAGATGGAATTTATTTGTATCTTGTGGAGTCAGTTTTGCAGCATAAATAAAAAATACAATAATGAGGCCACATTAGGCAACATAAAAAAGCAATATAACATTAAAGCAATGTGTGTAATGTTTCAACAAAGACATCTGACTTTGAGATTACATTTACAACAGTATTGTTCTTGAGGAATTGCTTTGAAATATTCCTCCAGAAAGAATGACTCTGAAAGCATGTCTGAACCAGCTGTAAAAGAAGGCGTACACTATTGGATTACAGGTGGAATTATAATATCCAACCCACAGGAACAAGTCAAAGAGAAGTGGAGGAACAGAGTAGCCAATAAAGGGATCAATGAGATTACAGAGGAAAAAGGGAATCCAGAATGTCAGAAAGACTCCCACGATGATGGCTAAAGTCTTAGTGGCTTTTCCCTCTTTCTTCAGTTCAGAATTCACACTCTGGATGGCCTGAACCTGCCGCTGAGCTTCATGTAAGATTTTAAGATACACACAGAGCATGACAAATGCAGGAATATAAAAACAGGCCAATGACATAAAGACAGCTACCTCTCTGCTCTGAAACACAAGGCATCTTCCATTACAATCAACATTTTCATAGTAAAAATCTTCAACACCGAGAATATTCAGCTCCATGAAGATCATGCCAAAGCCCAGAACAGCCGAAACAGTCCAGCAGATGATAATCATAACCAATGTGGCAAGCGACGTCATTTTACTGTGATATTGGAACGGGTGACATATGGCGTAATATCTGTCTAAAGAAATGATGCAGAGGTTTAGAATTGAAGCGGTGCACAATGTGACATCAAGACTGCTGTGGATCTTACAGAACAAATCTCCCAGATACCAGCAGGTCTCGATGGAGCGCAGCATGCTGGGAGGCATCACAACTCCTCCGACAAGCAGATCGGCCACAGCCAGAGACAA